TTATAGCAACAATCTTTGATAAATCCTTTTCACCTTAACACCAAGAGATGGCAAGTAGCCTTTTCCAAGGGCTTTAAGGAGTCATGCTCATTGCACACAAGCCATCCTGTGATCTGATGTTTGGCAGAGAATTGATTGGGGAAAGGGGAAAAAACTATTCATATTTCAACATATATAAAACATCAGCGTTTTGGGTTTCCACACAGAAATTTAAGCAATAGTCAGTGTAATTACAACACTGTATTTCAATAAACTAACTCTGAATTATGTGATTAAATGCCCAAACAGTCAATGTTTGGAGAAATGCTGGGTGACTGGATCTCATGTCTGTAATGAAGATTCTCCTGTCAGTCTCAGAAACCTTCTCCCAACAGTTTATGCACTCAGTCATGTCCCAGTAGTAGAGTGGGACAACTGAACACCTAATCCCAGATTCAAGAGGAGATCCAAGGAGAAAGTCATTCCTATTTCCCAACGTGGGGAAGTTAAAGAGATGAACACTTGGAGGAAAACCAACACATTGCAGAAGCTGCTGAAAGGCTTCTGATAGTCACTGTCACAAACACGATGTACACACTCTCGGGAATGACAGGTAAGACTCTCTTTTTCCAGGCTCTACACTTGTCACTTCAGAGGGACTTTGTGCACTGACCTCACAGCTGTCCCAAAAGATGGGCATCCACCCACCAAAAGGGGAAGACCTCAACATCTGGCAATTTAGCCTGGCTTCACATACAACTGACCTCTGCAGGATCAGGCTCTATAATCAGGCACATTACAAGATACCTGAAAGAATAAACTTTCCCAATATTCTGCAGCATCCATTAGAGGACTCATCCTTTCAGTAGAGCTTAATTAATGTTCCTGTGTGTACAACAGCCCCACCAATATTCAGACAGAACCCTGAAAAGCCCAAGTAGAATAAGACAAAATACAATACAATCTCCCAGTAAACTGAACAATACTTGCCAAAAATACTCATCTGCAACAGAAAAATGCTACATGGAAGCTGCTGCAAAGCTATCAGTGTAACTTCAAGCAGAACACGCCTTTTCCTGTCTTCTATAATCTGATCTAGCACTTGCAGACGTGCCACAGAAAAAGTTGTGATCCAGAGGTGAGAGCATATCCTACAATCCTTACTGTACCATCTGTGTCTGCAGTTCTATGCAAATATGGGCAAAAATAAGGCATCATCTCTTCCTCTGCAGCTTTTTGGCTTAAAAATACCCAACAACATCCAGCATAACTTGCAAGTAGGACAAAAAGTATCTGTCTGAAGATCAACAACTGCCGGTAGCAAAGATCAAAACCCACCCAAAAGTTCCCTTTAACAAGAACAAACCCTGAACACACTCAAAGCTTATCACATCCAAGCAACTCGGCTCTCATCACACTCTTCCATTCTCAGAGAACAAGGAGACTCCTGGAGAATACTTCAAAATGTTTTTCTGTTAACAGCTCTCAAGGCGAGCTCAAGAAATGACTGACAAGAGAGGGGAGTACAAGGCTGCTCTTACTCATGAGGGCCTTGCTCAGTGTTCCACAGCACCAAGAGCTGCTCAGCTGCCAGTGCCTCGGAGCAAAGCTCCAGGAGAACAGCAAACCCTCACAGCCACACACTGAACAGCTCGGCAGCACAAACACAAAAGCTAGGAAATGGCCAGGTAAGTCAGTTTGCATGCTGCAGAATGAACAGAATGGCTGTGTTTATCCAAGTCGTTTCAGGAGATTTTTACCGGAAACCAAGCAGGAAATGTGAACTGTTAACGAGGTGTCAGAAGGTGCTGGGCTGATTCTGACTAAATCTGTAACTCATCCTCTCAGCCACCTGAGAGGCCAGTAGAGAAACAAGCCTGGTAGCTGAAGGAGAGGAAGCCCGAGGATGACCACAATCTCCAGTGTAAGGTACAGAGCTGCCTCAGCTGCAGAGCCAGGGCAGTCTGCAGTTACCTGTGCTAGCAGAACAATCACCTGAATGAGTTTGGTTTGTAATAAAATGTGAGGGATTATAACATTAACCACCTAAGAAGCACTGAAGTGGCACATATTGCACTAAGCTGTAATTAGCTCTTTCCAGTCTTAAAGCACTACATAAGCATGACCTAATGAATTTTCATAAATGCTGCTGCTAGTGGCCAGAAGGCCCCTATTTTTATACCAAAGAAAATAAATCATATTGGCTATCCCATGACCACTTGAGTTAACAAAATGAGGAAGGACACTCCAGTGAACTAGACATGGAAATGCTGATTCCTAATTCCATTAAAATGCAACGAAGTTCTTTTTTTTTTTTTTCTTTTGCTGCTATAAAAAGATCACATTGTTTCCTTAGGCTCCCAACACCATCAGTAATAGACCCTGGAGAAAAACGAAAAAAGCAAGAGCAGCTTAACAAGCCCTCACAAATGTACATATATGCTGTGCATATATATTGAATTTTTAACCATATTCTTGCAGAAACTTCAATCTTAAACCATTTTTCTCTGTACTTCCTGCCTGCCCAAGCTACAAATGGCTTCTACACTACACATTCTTGCTACCTTTCCTCCAGAACCTGTATGTAAATTTTGACATATTTCCCTCCTTACCCATCACTGCTCCATTTTCCATTTGCTCACCTCTGTCCCAGTGTCCTATTCCCACGGCAAACACTTCCCCACTTTCTGCCTGTGATCCTAGAATGAGCAATGTTCTTCAGTCCAGTGAAAAGTTAAACCCACTCAACAGTCTGAAAAGAAGTTAGAGCAGATACAGTCCAATAATGCCCCTCTACCATGTCAGTCCCAGCACTTTGCACTATTTTTGTGCCACTTCCCCTCTCTCCTACTCATCTAATGACTGCTGTTATCTCTCCTTTCATCATATTTTTTGCCACAAGTAGCTGAACTGGAAACAGAACAGTATTTTCCTCTTTTTCCCCATTCTACAGTGTTAAAAATTTTTATTCTGGAGCCTTCAGTTCAAGAGTCAGTACTTGACACGCCTGAACTGTCTGTGTCTCTCTCAACTTCCCCCTGCTCTACCTCCTGACTGGGACACGCCTGTCACTCCCTCCTTAACCATTTGTGTCCTCCTTTCTTGTCACAGCACAGACCTGAACTCCCTGAACACTCTCCTGCAAAGCCTGGAGCAGGTACAGCAAAAATCCACACTGCTCCAAAAGCTTCCCTCTGTTCTGCTGTCCACATGGAGCTCTGGCAGAACTTAAGCTGAAGCTTACCGGGGTAAAACTGAGACTTCATGCTTGGCCAGCACAGATCACACTGCCTGCACTCAACACAATGACATCATTCAGCTGCTTTTTTTTTTTCCTCTTCATGTTTATAACGGCATAAATATGTCCAGCTGAGATTTTGAAAGGATTTAGGAAATAAAGTAATATAAGTATAAATAAAGCAATTACCTCGCTTTCAAAAATTATTAGGACAGTACTCAGCTATTAAGAGCATCTAAAAAATATTCCTGAGTTCTGCCTAAAGCACAACATGATAAATATATATTTTCGCAGATAATTATAAAGATTTAGGGACTCACAGAAGAAAGCAACAGCTTTTTTGCTGTAAGGTTCAGAAGAACAAATTCTTCATAACCCACTCAAAGTGAAACTCTGCACATGTTTCAGTTATGGAAAGAACCCACTTTCCAGAGCCTCAAGATGACAGAACAGTAATTGCTCCCTTCCCTTTGCTACACAGCCTGAAGTCACTAAACATGTTTAATCGAAGACAAAACTGTTTTATTGAACAGATTTTAAAGCAGATCCCTCCAGCACAGCAATTACACCACTAGAAGTCACATCTGTACCAGAATCTTGACTATGGAAGAGTAATTACTCTTTTATGATTAACTGAAGGTGAAACTCAAGGAGCAACAGGTCTCCTTAGGAACTTATTTACAGAGCTCAGCCCAGGGCTGGGCAGGTGATAGGCCACTGCAGCACCTGCCCATTCTGCAATCTCCAGAAGACATTCCATGATCAGGGCAATACATATTTATAGAATATTTACACAACCTCTTTAAGTCAGGCTATGATTACACAACCATTCATAATAGCTCAACAGGAGACATCATGAGCTATTGTCTAGATTCACACTAACACAAAGGTTATTTTTAATATATAAAAACACAAAGCCACTTATGTTTGAGAGACCTACAAGAACAGATTTAATCTATTTTAAGGTTCTCAACCCCCACCCCCACAAAACCCTATGCCACTGGCATACATAAGTCTATGAACCAACAATCAAATTAAACTCAATTTTAAAATTTCTTTTTGCAGCATTTGCAAGGGAATGGAGAAAAAGGAGTTCAGCTGTTGCAGACAGTTCTAGCTGCAGCTCAAGAATCAAGAGGTTTCTTTTTCCTTTCCAACCCCACTACTGAATTGTGTACTCTGTCTCTACCCCACTACTAAATTGTGTATTCCATCTTCAGCTGAGAACTTCAATGTAACAAAAATCTCATTACACGAGTATTAACACAGACATTCAAAATTAAACAGGAAGTATACACAGGGAATGTTTGCTAGATTGCTCAAACTGGAATAGAGAAGGGAGTGGTTTTTAAATTCTTCTCATTAACCCATGCATATCTTTTCTTTAAAAAATCACATTACTATTAAGCCTGTCTTTATTGCAAATATTTTTTTTTTGTTTGGCTTGGTTTTTTAAGTTGATGCACCAGTTAACAAAAGGGTGGTAATAATCATATGGTAAAAATACTGTGCAGGTACCGGCTTTGTTACAAAACTTAAAAGCCCTCAATACCTCAGCTTTCCCACATATGAAATGAGCACGATTACGTCAGAATCTCTTTTATTATTATTTAAAAAAAAAGGGGGGGAAGTAACTAAATGCAGCTGCATGCAACACCACAGATTAACAGTCAACCACTCAAAAACACGTACGGAAGCGGCTGGGTCGCTTCTCACACAGAAAACAACGCAGCAACAAAATCACACGGGGGGCACTTAAAAGACACTGAAGGGCAAATCTTACCAGCTGGAACTCCCTGCGCCTGTCGTAGGCGTGCTGGATGCCACTGTCTGCCCACAGGGCTCGGATGGCTGGCAGGTAGTCTAAAAAAACACGGGTCTCCACCATGCCCTGCGCCACGGTGACGGCGCGGGTGTCGAAAGCCATCACCTTGTCCCCGTTGCTCTGGTTGGCAGGATCTCCCCAAGGGATATGGAGTTTCTCTCTGGCGTCCACGAGGACTCGCACACCTGTGATGACAGGGAAGAGCACTGTGAGCAGAGTTTCTCAGCATCTACTGTTTCACCAGTCCGCAGAGCTGCACAGAGGCAAACAATGCAGCTCCTCTGCACAAAGCTCAATAGGAACACCCACCCGCAGGGAATCAGGGAACGTCCAAAAAACTGACTCAAATCGCTGCATTTACAGGTAATACCAAACCCCAGGTTTGCTGTCTCAAGAACACGACCATGATCAACAGGATTATATCCAGAGTGTGAGTTTAACTCTTGAAAAAGTGTTACTTTTAATTACTAAGTTTATCCAACCTGTGCTACCAAACTCTTTCACTTGGCCTGAGTACAAGACAAAGTGTGCATAAACGTTTATTTCAAAATATGTTAAACCACCTGATGTCTTGCTTCAAGGTTCTCTAGTTTTTGTGTTCTTATCAACTTTGTATCCAGTTATATCAAATTATACAAAGAATCTCTATCACTGAGAGTATTTCTATCATTGCCTTTAATATTTTCAGAAACTAAGACGTACTAAAATCTTTGCACTTGCTAAAAATATGGTTCTATAACTGAAGTGCAGAAGGACTCGTATCACCTAAAGGCTTCCCTCCACTTCTGTGATTGTTTTGGTAAATATCCTCTAGAAGAAAGAGAGTATTTTAAACTTCTTTTTAAAGACCTTCTGGATATAAACCCATGGTGTTCATATTTATAAGGTAAATGCAGGGAAATGATTTCTAGTACTCAACTTACTGATGAAAAAATAAAAACTCCAGAAAGAACAAGCAACTGTGAAGGCATGGGAAGAGATATAAGGAAATTAAGATGTGGCAATAAATGACTGTACAGTAACATACTCATTCAGGGCCAGTGTTTTGTCAAGGTTCACTTCCTTTCCATGATTCTTCTCTCTGTCAAAGGCAGCTATCTGTCAAATCTATCTGTGACTGCAGGAAAACAGACAGATGCCCAGTTCCTACGTGCATACTTTCACAGAGTACGAAGTAGCTTTAAAAATAAACTTTAACCTGGTTGACATATATGCTTGTGGTTTTTATTGCCCTGCTATCAATAGTTTTTCCAGGCTTGACTCATAAGCAGGTTTGTAAAACAATTCTCTTTGAGAATTGCTGGATTTTCAGGGGCTGACTCTGGCAACACTTTGTTGTTTTGAGAAACTTCATTAAGACTTTGTCCAACTATTACACCGTTCAAACTGAAAATCCAACGAGTGATTTAGATAAGAGAGAAAATGAGTGAGGATGGCCAATGAAGTAAGGATGACAGCAGTGAAATCAAGTATCCACTACTCCCCTAAACCATGTGTGGAGGTTTTGGCAAACATCTATGAAGAGAGGCTGTGCCTGCGGGTTGCTGTTAATTGATGTGTCAGCCGAGTTTCCAACACAACGGCAGCAATTCTTCCACTGCAGCAAAATGTTGAGAGCACAGGGCTGGGCTCCTCCTCACGCACTTCCAGGTGCATCTTCCCCCCATCCATTACCGCTCATTACTGCACTCGCATTACCAGGAAATCACAGAATCACGGAATCAATTAGATGGGAAAAGACGTCTGAGATCATTCAGTCCAACCTATGACCGAACACCACCTTGCCATCAAGTGCCACGTCCAGTCTCAAAACACCTCCAGCGACAGTGACTCCACCACCTCCCTGGGCAGCCCATTCCCGTGTCTGAAGTAAAGAAATTCTTCCTAATGTCAAGCATATACCTCCTCTGATGCAGCTTAGCGCTGTCCCCTCGTTCTATCTCTGGTTCCCTGGGAGCAGAGCCCGACCCCCACCTGGCTACAGCGTCCTTTCAGTGCTTGCAGAAAGCGATAAGATCATCCCTGAGCGTCCCGTTCTTCATGCTGAGCCCCCCCAGCTCCCTCAGCCGCCCCTTGTGCTCCAGCCCCTTCCCCAGCTCTGCTGCCCTTCTCTGGCCTCGCTCCAGCGCAGCACCAAGAAGCAAAGCCCGGGACCTCCCGTGCTCAAACCGCTGCTCCCGGGGCCGGAGCCGCCCCGCGGGCCGCACCCGAGCGGCGCGGTGACAACCCCGGCGGGCCCGGAGGGGCTGCGCTCCGGCCCCGGGGCAAGGATGAGGCGCCGGAACAGCGCGGGAGGAGGAGGCGGCGGCGGCCCCGCGGCTCCCCCGGCCCGCGGGACCCGCCCGAGCCGCCTCTCCCCGCCCCGGCCCGGCCGGGCCCGGCGCCCGCAGGGCGGCCCCGTCCCCGCCGCCCTCACCCACCCTTGATCACGTTGCTGTAGATGGTGGCGCGGAACTCCTCGCGGGCCGCGCGGTCCCAGTCCTGCCCGTGGATGATCCGCATCTGCTTAAGGAAGGTGGACTTGCCGCTCTCGCCCGCGCCCAGCAGCAGGATCTTGACGAGGCGCTTCACGTAGGTCTTCTCGCGGTTGAGGCACTTGTCGATCTCCTTGGACTTGCGCTGCTGCTCGGCCTCGCCGCTGGTGAGGAGGCAGCCGGGGAAGCAGCCGGACAGCGCGGAGCGGGACGGCAGGAAATCCGCCATCTTAGCGAGCGCTGCCAGCGAGGGGAGCGCCCGCCCGCCGCCCGCGCCGCGCGCGCCCCGCACCGCGCCTGCGCACCCGGCCACGCCCGCCTCGCACGCTCCCGCCCGGCGCGTGACGGGCGCGTGCCCCGCCCACAGCGCGGGCCCCGCCCTCTCCCCGGCCCCTCACAGGAAATGGCGGGAGCGGCCGGAGCCGAGTCACCCAAAGGGACCCCCGGGAACGTCCAGCCCGGCCCCTGGTCCTGCACAGCACCCCCAGACATCCCACCAGGTGCATCAGGGCCTGGTCCGAACGCTCCTTCAGCTCTGGCAGGCAGAGCTCCTTTAAACCAGACTGACAATTTGCTTGTAAAACTCTGCCTTTTCCTCAAGAAATCCCCCGAGTCGCTTTGAATTTGAGCTTGAAATTACGATTTTTCAGCACCGTTCCTGGAGGAGATCCAGGCTGTACCTTCTGGCAGGTGCCAGGGTGTTCACGAGGAAACGCAGTGGAAGAACATTCAGGCACAGGGTGCTGCTGTGTAATGGAGATAAAGGTTTATAGATGCACATGATCATAATTCTAACGTGCTTTGTAATGAAAAATAAAGTGGAGAATGACTTCATGGAGTCATTAAGGTTTGGAAGAGACCTTTAAGATAAGTCCAGCCATCCACCCAGCACTGCCATTGTAACAATAAAACCATATCGCCCAGCACCAGGTCTGGATGTTTCTCAAACACGTTCAGTGACTCCACCACCTTCCTGGGCAGCCCCTTCCAGTGCCAGACCACCCTAACAGTGACTTTTTTTCTAATCTCTTATCTGAATCTCCCATGTCTTGTCTTTAGGCCATGTCTGCTGATCCTCTCACTGTAGGCATGGCAGAAGAGACTAAATCATAAAAACACAGAATCAGTTAGGTTAGAAAAGATCTCTGAGATCATCCAGCCCAATCTGTGACTGATCACCTCTTTGCCAAAATTGCACCAGTTGCCACATCCAGTCTTTCCTTAAACACCTCCAGGGTGTCTCCACCACATCACTGGGCAGTCCATTCCAATGGCTAATTACTCTTTCTATGAAGAAATTTTCCATAATATCCAACCCCCAACTTCCCCTGGAGCAGTTTGAGGTCATTCCCTCTTGTCCTGTCCCTTGTTCCCTGGAAGCGGAGTCTGACCCTGGCTGTACCCTCCTGTCAGGGGTTATAGAGTGAGAAGATCCCCTCTGACTCTTCTCCAGGATGAGTCCCCAGAGTTCCCTCAGCAGCTCCTGGTGCTCCAGCTCCTTCCCAGCTCCATTCCCTTCTCCAGATATACTCCAGCCCTTCAGTCTTCTTCCTGAACTGAGGGGCTGAGAACTGGACACAGGAATTGACACAGCCACTCCTGTCCCTGTCCCTGTCCCTGTCCCTGTCCCTGGCTTCTCGTGGGTATGCTTAGTAGAGAAGATTAAGAGGCGTCTCATTGATGCATACAAATATCTCCAAGGTGAGTGCCAAGGGGATGGTCCCAGACTCTTCGGTGGTACCCAGTGACAGGATGAAGAGAATGGCCATAAACTAATACATGAGAAGTTCCACCTCAACATGAGGAACAACTTTCCATGGAGGGAGCAGAGCCCTGGAACAGCTGCCCAGGGAGATTGTGGAGCCTCCCTCTCTGGAGGCATTCCAAACACACCTGGACCTGCTCCTGTGTCACCTGCTCTGGATGACCCTGCTTTGGCAGGGGGGTTGGACTGGATGATCTCAGGAGGTCCCTTCCAATCTTAACCAATCTGGGATTCTGGGATTCCATGGAAACGAGCCCCAGGCTCAGCCAGCCCTGTGGCTGCAGGGAAGCTGCTGGGCAGGCAGCCCGGGGAGGTCAGCCCTCGGTCAGGGGGGCAGGATGGTGCTTGCCAGCTAAGCAGGTTTTGTTCTCGGTGCAGAAAGAGTCATTTTGTTAAAACACTTTGAAAAATTGGCACGTCCTTCCTCTCTGCCTGGCTGAGAAGAGCTTCCCAGTACTGCAGGGCTGCAGCACCAAGCACCAGGCTGTACAGGGAGCAAAAGAGAGTGGGACTCTATCTGATACTGAGTTAAAAGGAGCAAAGACATTATTTTCAATGGCAACCCTTCATTTCCTTTCATCAACCCTTCATGTGAGGGGTATAACAACTCACAGGCTGAGGAACCTGCAAGGACTGAAAATCCCAAGGACTGAGAATCCCAAGGACTGGAAATCCCACGCTTCATTCAACCCAGCCCTAAGCACAGTTGTTCGTTTAGTCATTTGTTTAATAAATTAACTACCATCAGTACACCATTGTAGTGCAAAGATTGTGTTAAACATTTGTCTCTCCTTACATCTCCTAGTCTTTGATACCTGCTGAGTTTTCCTCTCAATCTTCTTCTGCTTTTTTTTTTGCCAACATCAATCATAACTTAGAAAAAGACAGAAACAAATGTGGAGACTGCAAGGTGAGTTTAGAACAAGGAAATGTCACTTGGCCCCAGCTGGAAGGACCTTCAAAATCTGAAATGGTCTTAGGTTGGTCCCACATGGAGATAAACTGCATGGGAATTATTTCACAGGGCCTTACCAAAGGAAAAAACCCCAGAGTATTTCTCGTAGGAGAACAGGATGTGGTATAAAATTAATACAAGGAGCACATCCTAGTGGTCTTGGTACAGATGTGGAAGCCAGTCATTCCTGAGCTCTGGTCTAAGTTTTAAGATACTTGACTCAACTCTCATCTCACCACCGTCCTAGCTGCAGAGGACTCCTGAATTTCTACAATCGAGTCAGTTCAGTGTTGGGGAGTCCTTGGCCTCCCCATTCCCGTCCCCTTCACGTGGGGAGCTCTCCAAAAGCTCGGGGTGCTCCGTTCCCCTGTGCTGGCACAGCAGCCTGGCTGTGAGCTGCGGGAGGGGCTGACCATGGCCATGTTCCCTGGAGAGGGTTCAGCACCATCCAGGTCAGGTGTGAAGCCAGCTGCATCCTCCCAGCCCAGCAGCCAGGCTTCATCTCTAAGGCAGGGTGCATAAGGTCTTTCTCTGCTTGGCTTTTTTCCTTCCTCTTTGCCATTTCTTTCCTTAGCTTTCCTGGAAAGCCCAGGAATGACGGGAAACAAATGCTGCCCGTTTGTGCTCGCAGCTCTTCCCATGAGGCTGCTAAGGAAGCTTCTCATTTTGAGTGCTTGTGTCCCACCAGGCAGGACAATGGGCTCTGGAGATACTCCTTTAACCATTGCCTTGCTAGCAGACCTGAGCTTAAATCAACCTCTATGCCACAGTTCGCACTTTTTTTTTTTTTTTTTTTTTTTTTTTTTTTTTTTTTTTTTTTTTTGTTTTTTTTTTTTTTTTTTTTTTTTTGTAAACTGCTTTGAAATCTTACTGGAAGGAACTGTGTGCTGAAACTGAGCCTCCACTTGTCACTTGCTTCACTTAATTACCCCTTCCTTCCTCTCAGGGCTGTCCCCAGCTTCCTTACATAGAAAGGTGGCTTACTCACCACATGCCTTTTGTGTTGGATGATTCAACTTTCTGATGTGTGAAGAAGGGGCAACCACGTAGGAAATGTGACCTTTTAAAGAAAAGGGGGGGATTCCCTTGGCAGTGCTTTCCACAAGACAAACTCTGGAGAATCGAGAGTAGGTCTGTTGAGAACAATCACAGCTTGTGGTGTTTCACATGGAGACCAGAGGGATAAAATCCAGCTTTCAGCAGACCTTTCCCCAGCCTGGACACACTCTGTGTGAGAGGCTGGCAGGGATCTCTGGGCTCTGGAGGCCCATGGACACTCACTATTGCCCTGTGATGTGACATGATGACCACGAGTGTATTTCCCCTATGGCATCATTTATCTCTATGTGTGGTAGGACACCAATGGAAACTTGCAGCTACATAAATACCACTGCATTTACCATACAAAACAGGAGGTAAAGGAGACTCCCCAGAGAATGTCTTATCTGGGGGGCAGAAAGGCCAGGATGAATGTGGGGAGTAAGAAATCTGGATGGAACACGGCTGCTGCTGGTGCTCTCCACCACTCTTCCTGCTGCTCAAGTCTCTTGTTTCCTTGACCAACAAATTCACACATCAGCCAGCCAGGCTGTGTCAAGGACTGGAGAATTCTTTGCTTTCCACAAGTGTGGGTTTCGTGATTAGAGGCCCAGGAGTGTCTGCCCTAGACAAGGGCCTCTATAATCTATAATCTGATTTAAATGCCTCGTGCTTCATGTGGCAGATCTGACAAAGAGCATTAACTGCTGGGGTGGTTCACCTGGGCACAGGTGAAATCTCAGCTCATCTCTGACCGTGTATTTGGTGCTGTGGGTCACTCACAGATGTTAACAAAGCTGAATTTACCTTGGACATCTTGTGGAAATTACACAAAGTAGCTTTATAATATAGGAATATCTATAAGCTTTATCATAGCTTGTCAGAGAAGACCAGAAATAGAAAAAACCCCACACCTGACCTGTGAGGGGGTGTTTGGGGGATCGGAAGGATTTAAAATTATCAGAGTCTTTGGAACTCAGTGAGGCTGAAGAGCTCACACCTCAGCGTGAGCTTCTCAGAGCTCTTTCTCCTAGATCTCCTGCAAGACCATTTTATTTCTGAACTCACTTGAAGACCCAGATTTTAAATGTTTCTTGTGAATAAGACACCTATATTCCTCACTGAAACTGTTAAAGTCAGTATTTGGGGATAAAATGACTGGTTTTTTTATATTTCTTTAAGGAAGTGGGGAACAGGAAGTTGTTGGTAGTTGATCCTTTACTTAGGCCAGTGTTAGCACCACACCTGGAGTATTCCTGAGTCCTTTTACCACCACTTGTGTAACAGACCAAGTTGTTTGGTTTTACAGTGCAAATGGTTCAGAGGAATCATTGTAGATTATAACAAGATTTCCTATTTTGCCTATCAAACCAAGAAAATGAGCTACATCTTTTTATGTGCTCCTTACTCTGATATTATGTCCCAGAGAATTCCTTGCATGTACTCCTGCCAGTATCTGTCTCTCTAAGAGATGGAAGCAGCTAGTTCACTAGCATCATCAAAATGCCTGCATGCCTTTGCTGT